TTCGAATGGAAAATGTTGCCTTTTTGTTCTTTGGCATACAACGAGAGTTTTCTTCTTTTTTTCGCTTACCATTGCGATAGGACAGAGTGTTTCATGCGAGGAGGCAATTTTTTAGAGTAGGTTTACGCATCAGGACACAACGATAGTACAGACCTTGAACTCACGGCTAAATGCGGCTGTTCATTGTACATAAAATAGGAATAAAATTGATAATTTTTGACGAATAGCTACATATAGCGTGTTGAAATAGTATTTCTGATTTTCAACAATGTCCTTGATTTGCAATTTTGATAGATGAATCTGAAACTGTATCAGTATATATGGCAGTCAAATATGTCAAACTTGAATGCATTGTAATCCATCAATATTATTTCTTAAAACTCCTAAAAATGTTAAATCAAATAATTATACGCGACTGGCCGAATTCAGAGTCTCTATATATCAAACCAAAGTATATTTATAATACGGTAACGCGTATGAAAAAAAGTGGGTTTTCTATAGCATCCGGGCAAAACCCCGAGCGCTCATTGTTGCATTGTTATTCCGATTTTTTTGTCAGCTCTACAAGGATGGTAATTAAAACAATGCTTCGAAAAAAAAAAAAAAAAAAATCAATGCTGTACTAATATAGGTCTAAAGATATATGAGGGAACTGGTAACAACCATATAACCAGAGATTAACTGAGTTATAGTTTATCAACTCTTTAATTACAAACTCCGCGCCCTGTACTGTAGGAACCCAATTTAATTGGATTATTGTTTGATAGGAGCTGAACCTGAAGGGCGTTTCATCAGAATCTAGAGAGAGTGGAATTTTTACCTGAGGTGTACACCTATAATCTTTAAAACTCCTCATCAATTTAAAACAGGAAAAACGTGAATGTGATTTTCATAAATGACGCGTGTATAAACGTAAAAGAGGATAATATAAGCTCGTTCATATGTACCAGAAAGAAAGAAAGGAAGGGAGAAGTGAATAAATTGATGTCAATCACCTAAACAAAGAAAGCAAGTGCGAGACAATTCGGGGCTTTGTCTCATTCGCGATACGCCAGTCGCGTATACCACATGTTTTGGGAACACGTGCCAAACTATATAAATCCTAATGTTTAATTTTTTCCACACTTTTTTGCTCAAATTTTTAAAATACCTAGCGTGTAAGAACCACTTAATTAGAATCCCAATGAATCAGTGCATATTATACCTACTTCTGAGGCTGAAAGAGGGACAAAAACAAGCCAACACGCTTATGTACGGACTTTTCGGTCAACCAAAGGGTACATAAATACAAGTAGATAATATTTTTAAAAAAATGAAAAAATCGAAATGTATCGACATTGTTGAGCCCGTAAAACATACATACAATACAAGGGGAAAAGAGGGTTTTGTTGCACACACTGAGGATACACAATGTAGCCGGCTGTGCCAAAAATCCATGCCAAATGGTCATTTTTAATAAAAAAACATTGGTTTCATTTGTTTCAATCGATGAGAAATGCTGCTACTCGAAGAATTTAGAATCAGTTCAAGTCGACTTGCACGTACCATCATTTGCAGTTTTGGTTATAGGATCTATTTTCGGGATATTTAAAAACAAACACTCGAAAGAGTCCGAGCAAACATTCGCATCTCGAATCAAAGTTAAAACCCATTTCCCACGACTGTTTCTCGTGGCATCGGGTACCAAATTATCTCCATCTGGAGCTCAAAACGTCGCTAGAAAAAAAGTTTTGACAAAACCTCACCCCAACTATTCCTAGTCAATTTTTTTTTTCGGTGAATTTGATACCGATATTCTTATTAGATACAGCTAAACAAAAAAAATTAAAAAAAAACACCTACAAGTGTTTTATTGCTGATCCATCGACCCGATCTACGACAACCCAATCATGCGTGTATCTTGAGTCATTGAAAGCTGTATGTATCTACATAATAGAACACAGGCGTATACAAATTAGCAGCCGCTAAAAAGAATTTTTAACGTGTACAACAGCAGCTTCGGAGATTCGCTTTATTTATATAGCTGGTACTCACGTTCTTGCCTCGTGATGGCCATTTTCATGAGCAGCAGCGCTAAAGCGTCTCGTCGTCAATGCGCGGTACTTGTAACTTTACAACACAATCAACAGCAGCACCGCCACCACCTTTATATAATTTGTATACGATGCTCCTCTTCGACAACACTCGCCCGCATGTGAAACAGTCGATGCACACGCCTATACACACCTATATATACTTCACATGTGAAGGAACAACCACACGAAGATCTAATTGAGCTGTACACGTATACAAGCGTCAGCGGTGTCGTCATCGGTATAACGTGACGGCGACCGCTGATGCTGTATGTGTACGCTCTTTTTTTTTCTCTCTATCACTAACGATCGAGATATAACCGATTTTCCTCCCCCTCCTCGACGAGATGAACAATCACTCCGTGTAAGTATACTTGTGTTGCACACTCTTCCTCTCGCGCGGCAGAAAACTGCGTGAAATTTGTATCGAACAACGATCGGCAGTACCGGTAAACTCGGCGCATACGTGACTCATCCGGAAAAAATGATATTGCTACTCTCGAGGATGATTGTTATTTTTATACTTGCATGTTGAGATTTGTATTTCTTTAATCATCGCGACACAAACATTGTGAATTTGAAAACCCCATTTTTTTTTTTTTTTTTTTTTTCACGTTCACCGCGATCAATTGCACCGGAGGAAATAAGAAAACCCGTTGAATGGTATACACCTGAGAAGACGAAAGTGTAAAATGCCTTTATCATATACTCAAAAATTCGGAGGAACGAAGGAAGGGGACGTACACCCCGCGCGTTTTTACACAGGTATACAGGCACATTATACCGAACACCTGGCGTATAATATAAGCTAACTTAGGGCCGGAGGCTCTGTAGAAAAGGACAGCACCGTAACATATAAGGCGATCTAAAGTAACTATTGTACGCAGGAGAAGAAGAAGAAGACCCGCGGCCAGAAAGTTAGGTAGCTCGGCCGACCAAGTGCTCTGGCAACGAGCCATCCACCGGTGAGAGCCCAAGAGACCTGCCCGGCTGGACGTTATATTTAGGTATCGAAAGTCCGCAAAGACGACGGGCATTACTCTCGTTTGGCCTCTCGAGCCTCGTTTTCTTGCATGGCTCCGTACAGACACTTTGACGAAAAAACCAAATATATTTTTTTTAAATTTATTATTTTTTTTTTTTTCGTGCCCACGGCCCGGCAGTTTATATATGCTGTATTATTTTCGGTACGGCTGTCCCGCTCTACATCGGGCGATTATTCACTCCGATCGATCGACGCGTTGCCTCATTTTTGCGTTGTACATTGCAAATTGCTACAAGTAAAGCTCGAGGAAGAGCCTGCCACTGTTTTGTTTTATTCGTAAGCAAATGTAACAAATTCGATCGAGTTGTTGAGCAAAATTTGGAGGTGGAGGGAGAAAAAATCGGTATACATGCGATGGCTAACGTGTATACACAAACGCGTGAACGGCCGAGTAAAAAATTGCGCACTGGCGAAATTTACCGATTACACACGAGGACGCGAGAGAGCGTTGAATAACCCCCCGGCTCTTGTGCGAGGCAGCGACGACGTGGTACTGAAACTGCGAGTCAACGGTGAGGCTGCAGTGCTATGGGAAAAAGGGGAGGGACGACCATACCAGAAGAAGAAGAAGAAGAGAGCCGGGATGTGTAGACACGTTGGGGTAGGGGTTCTCTCGATTTTTCGGAGGTTGGACGCACTGCGGCCTGGTGACGACGGCGGGAATCGTCGCTCTGCGGGCATGGCTCGCTTTTTCGACTGCTACGTATACCTATATTTGTAGTTCTGTTGTGCAACAGATGAGGAAAAATGTAAGTCTCGCTGAATGGGCTGGCGAAAGCAATGGTGAATTTACGACCTGCACTCGCTGAAGGGCGAACCTTGCGACAAGAAGTGGACGAAGGGGGCTGTAAATATCGGAGTACAACTGCAGCTATGAATAGGGCAGTTTGTGCGACAGTTTCTTTTTTTCATTTTAATTTCACTTTTAACATTGGCCCAAAAAAAAAAAAAAAAAAAACCTGATCCATAGGTTTACAACATCTGATCGAATGATACGTACATCAGAAGGTGTTGGGATTATTGGAAAAAGAGCTATAGCGACGCGTATATTTTAAAATAGACGTAGGCTTGAGCTGCTGAAACAGGTGGTGCTAACAGGTAAATTCTCTTGCCAGTGACGAATATAGTACGAATGCGCCCAAGTTTTACGCTGGTCTATGATTATATTAACGCGTGAATAGTACAACCAGCTTGTGTCGAAGATATAAACGTTTTACTTATCTAAAATTTTCAAATTCAAGGGTTTAAATTTAAATATTTGCTAGGTTACATTAGAGAAAGAGATGAAAGTATATTAACTTTTGTTATATCGCTTATCTCAGAGTGCTAGTGTTAAAAAAGTACATAAATATTATCAGCCGCGATTTAATGAATCATTCAAAGAATCGATCTAATACCTGTCAATGTTATGTCAACGCACTATTACAGTAAAAAGCAGTACCATTTTAATTTTAAACTGCATACATAGTGAATTTCTCGAGCCGCTATTTTGCACCCATAAATCTCAAAGATTTAGTAATTTTATGTTACAGAAATAAACAAAAATTTGAACTACGTCTGTTTACCTGTTGTTCACTGTATCTTACTGTATATTTCAATAGAGATAATTTAATTATAAAGTTCTTTTGTAGACATAACACATTTAAAATAATAATTTTAAAAGTTTCAATTCATCGCAACGAACATTATTTACTAATCCAATTCTATGATTGAAAAACTATTTGTACGACCATAACTATAAACATGTAGTGAAATCATCGCTCTAAGTAGTATAATACCCGCATTTAACAAATCGCGTAAATGGTCAATGAGATATCGTGGGCTAAACATTTTCAGCAATCGACGCAAAGGTTAATCATAAGTGTAATCAATTGCGTACTCACCTTTTGGATTCAGTCTTTCTGGGTTAAACCATGCATCTGCAAATAACACATACAAATACCAAATTAGTATTAGTATCCGTCACCCATGAACATGCTCGTGTTTTTGATATATGTCAAGTGAAAAAAAAAAAAAAAAAAGAAAAAAAATATGCGTGTAAACGAAGAACTTCTATTCTGGTCGGAGGAAAAATAAATTGTAACGAGAGGTACAAGCTTCGTTGCACATGCATATAGAAGTAAGGCAGTACACGTTTACCGAGTACAGTATGGAAAGCTATAGCGTAACTAATGCAGATAAGATACGCCGTCTGGTGCTCTAAATGTATAATTTACATAATTTCCGACAATGACGAATGATAAACATACTTTCGTTTCCCAACTAATTTTTTGCACTTTGATTTCGAACGAGGACAGGCAACATAATGCGCGGACTGAGAGTTCAAGAGTGAAAAAAAAAAAAAAAAAAAAAAAATGAAATCCAGGGCAAAACGGAAGGATATCCGATATTGTACGTCAGAAAAAACCGCTGAGCCGCACCGCTGGAGCGGGAACTTTCGCGGATGACTCTCGAAGAGATTCGCACAGATAGCGCGGATTAAAAAGTAGGTACAATAGGCGCGCGAGCGTGGGCGGAGTGGAAGACAAAGCAAAAAAAAAAAAAGAACTCAAACGTAGAGGAGCTGCGAGTTATTAGCAGCTGATATAGGTGGAGCGCGAGAAGGACGCCTCGCGACGATATGCATGTCAAGTACATAAATATACACTTCAACAGCGTGTTGCGCACAGTAGTCACGGCTTTTTTAACTATCGTGACCGTTTTTTGCTGCGTACTTACATACCTAACTTTTGCACTAAAGGAGAAACTATGGAGCTTGGAGTACCTATATTTGTTGTGGTCGCGCATCTTTATCGCTTATACATTATTAACCCGACGAGGACGGGTGGTGGTGGTGTGCGCATCGGCCGATGCGCCTGTGTATGGAAAATCAATACTCATGGAAACTTGCATGAGAGAGAAAAAAAATATGTATAAAATATTGGTAAGGTTTTATCTCAAGATTTGCTTTTCTACTGTTACGATACTTAATACAATTAATATCGCATCGATGAGTAAGCCGATGTTCCTCGACATCGACATGGTCAATAAAAGTCTTTTCGGCATAGTGTAAACGCAAGTACACGATTCAACCCGACTCGAGTACTCGTGTACACGTGTATAGACACTTTGCATGATATTTGTAGCGCATTTGCATCACCAGCGCTTTGAGACTCATTAAAAAACATGCACCGGCAGTTTTGACTTGTGAGGCTTCAATTACAAAAATTGCACGTTGAAAATGTCAAGTGGACAAATTTACCATAAATTTTTTGCGTTGGTTATTACTTCAAAAACAGTGTTTCAAACGAACTAGCCTCAAAACACATTGTACTCGCCAAACATACTTGTGTGTAAAAATGTCACGATATCGACAAAAAAAAAAAAAAAAACAATGAAAACTCTAGATTTATAACACGTATAGGTATACATACAACACTCATTTGGTATTTTTAATGGAAATATAAGTAGATGTTATCCGACCAGAAATTATTGCCATGAAAACTGCAACATTTTTGAACAAAAAAACACGTTGTAAACATTATTTAGAATGATCGAAAAATGTTCCTCATGAGCAATAATAAATAATTTGCGGATTACCGCGCAACAAAGACCAAGAACGGAGCGATCGATAAAATATTCTCTGATAGGAATGAAAAAACAATAATAATCCACAAAGAACCGCGTGCTATTATTGTTACCGGGATAAATGAAGCCTAAAATCTACATGGACTGTAGAGAACTGTATCGATCTCCGCACACGATGCACGCACGACCCGAGTGTTTCTATATGCAAATATAAAAAACACATCACTCTCGGGATAAATGACTCTCTCGGTGACTCTCTGTACAGCGCGCGTATGTATATACATCAGTTTTGAGAAATCGAGTGCTTGACGGTGCAAAGAAGAACGTCCACTCGACACTCGCGGAATCGAGGCGATGAATTTTTCAAGTTGTAATATCGCGTTGCTAATTACAGCTCGTACACGCAGAGAGTCCGTTTGACCGTGAAAGAATTAAAGACGGGCATGGCGCGACGCAACCACACGTCGAGGGGGGAACGGACGCGATATATTGTGGCTGCCCTTTTTCTTTCATCTCGTTAGTTCAATGACATTTACAATCAATGTCTGGGCGCGCGCATGTGTGTATACATATATATAAATGTATACTTGTGCCAACGCCTCTCGAGCATAACAGGATCGAGGATCGGGTGTCGCCTGCCAGAGAATTGACATCAGGTGCATGTATACACCCAATGTAAAATCAACTTCTATCCGGTAGGTTAGTATATATAGCTTGTTGAGGTTGAAAATGTGTAGCGATAAAAGTTTGGTTTTTCAAGGTTAATTCAATTTCAATTTCTTTTACCGAGGAGCCGTAAGAATTACTCGGTTACACACACGTACGCCAAATTGAAATTGATTATCGGTTCACGGGGCGCTAATCAACCTCCATCGACGCCTCGTTGGATAACACAAGCAGACGTGGTAAAAGTACATAGTTATACCGTTTGAAATAGTAACACGCGACAATTAATTGAAAGAAAAACGTGAATTTTTTTATATTTACGAAATAAAATTACCCTAAACAAATGTAAATTAACGACCATCTATGCTATTTTCTCAAATTGCAACAATCTCGATGCATGATGATTAATGCAATTGTGCAAATGTTATATTTTGCGAATTAAAGCTTGAAGCTTTTTGCATCGATTTCTTTTTACCCTAAAAAAAAAAAAAAAAAAAAATACTTAACGGTAGAGGCCATGTACATACACCCACTGGGTGGAGGAAAAAAAAAAGTAATAATATGACACGAGTGGACAGCTTCGTCCGAGCTTTCGCGTCGTCCCTTTTTAGGGTCAGGTGGATCTCGCTTCATGTAGTGGTGCATATCTCGAGGTCGGCGACCTTAAGCCTCTGCAGAGTGGACAAAAAGCTCGAGAGAAAGGGAAAAGTCTTTCAGCGAACCGGCGAAAACGCGGAACTTCCGCAGCCGAATTTTTTACAAAGAGCCATACTAGCCAGAGACGCGGGGAAAAAAGCTCGCAAGCTCGTTGGACTTTACGTTTTATTTGACTCGGTGAGATTATAATCAGCAGCAAAGCACGTCCCGCTTTCATCATAAATTAGCCTAGCAACAAAACTGGATAATCAATTTTAATGCACGTAAATCCATCTCTCGTTTGCCATTACGAAACGCCAATAACTGCTTGCAGGACGCGTCTCCTCCAACCGGTTCCGTGCTCCATCTTCTTCAAACAAATTCCGAGGCAAATTCTCGAAATCACGGAAACATACAGGATGCGAGTACCTGTATGTCTTTGTCTCGAAGATCTTTAACGACACGATGAAAGAGAAGAAAGAAAGAAAAAAAAAAAAAAAAGTCCGCGACTATGCGCGTTACGTATACGTGTATAAATCACAGCTCGCAGATAGTAAGTATACACGTAACTACCCACGGTAATGCATGCCTGTGATTCTTCGTGATAAAATATACCATAATGCAGTTGGTTCGCAAGCAAAGAAAAAGAGAAGAAGAGAGAGCGCATTTTTGCGAGTATTCAGAGCTGAAACGCGACCATCCCGGGCAGGTGAAAATAATACTCATATTATATATGTACTTTTTAGATATAAGAAAATAGAAAATGTAATTACTGCATGCGTTTGTATTAACGCCACACCTACGCACGTATATATTATATTACCCGATGCTGAGACTATATATTATGTGGTCAATGATCGAAAGGTCTGTTCACGTATAGAAGATATCACTTGGAGGTGGCAACCAAAGTATGTTTACTCTACCTTGGCGCCTATTGTATAATTATTAGCCGAGTATTACTTATATTCCCGTGAGTCTCGCATCGGCGGAGCTTTCACTGCGGGGGGAAAAAAGACAACAAACAAAAAGCCAGGACGTACGGAGCTTTCCCGACTGATAATGGACTCTCCCCCGGCGGTGTTATGCCGCAATGAACTTTTCTGCTCTCATATACCGTACCTAATCGCGCAATATACGGTACAGATTGTGCTCTGTATACGCGTCCCTATATACATAGGCAGGTACTTATATTAGCGAACAAAAAAAAGAAGAAAAAAAAACGACGACTTTGTTTTGGGAAATCTATGTTCAGCTACTCCCCGCATATCCGCAGGATAATGTATACAGGTATACACGCGTCCATTGTACCTTTTCTCTCTCTTACTGTGCAATGCATTCGAGAAGCTCTCGCGGCTCTATGGGCGTGCATCGAGAGCTTTTTTGCTTTTTACTGGCTACCACGAGCCCCGGACAGCTGAGATTCTAAGGAGCAGGAAACAAATAGTTGTACCGAGAGCTCTTTTTAACATCCCAGTTCGACAATGCGTAAATTATACGGTACGTGTATATCGTATGGTGACCTACAGCCGCGTCCCACTGCTTTCCCTACTCTCCTACACATTCCCAAAAGTTTGACCGTAAATTTGAAACGCGCGTATACCCATACATGCCCAACAAAAAGGGTCACAGATCGAATAAACTAAACGACAATTATTGTCAATAGCCGTGTGATAGGTGTATATGTACGAGTGTGCGTGTGTGGGTTGTTGCGGCTTACAGGGTAGCAGCACGGTCCATAGGGGTGGGGTGCCGGAGCCCTTGCCGGCCGTCGAGTTCGCGTCCTTGGTGCACGCCGATCCGTCCATGATTCACGGGGATGATGTGTACACCTCCCTCGTTTGTTCTTTTATTATTTTTTTTTATTTTTTTTACTTCCGTACGACGTATCCAACGCCACAGCGATCCCTCGTTGTCAATTGATACGGAAGGGGGGGGGGGGAAAAGAAAAAAAATCACACACCCGCGAGGAGAGAGAGAGAGCACTGTTGTTTTTTTTTTTTCTTTCGCGTATACCGCACTCGAGGAGTCGCGACGGATGACTGGAATGTGA